GGCCGTCGCGTGCGTTTCGGGTTGAGGGTGAGGGGAGCGGGGGGAAGGGGGCCCCGCCGCGCCGTTTTGAATCGCGGGGAGGGGGCGGGCGGGAAATCGGCGGCCGTTGGCGTCGGGCCGGCGGGACGGGGGAAATTTCGAACTGGGGCGCGTGAATCGCGTTGAAGTGGTGGGCAGGGAGGTTGGTCACGCGGGGTTAAGAGGCCGTGGGGTCCATTTGGTTTGTCTGCGATGTGATCTGGGCCATTTTGTTGCGCGGTCTGGCCTGGCATATCCTTGGTTCGGGATTCAGCCCGGCCCATGTACGGAGAGCGGGTAGTTTGTGTTTCAGGTTTGAGGGCAGCCGGTTTTATTCGGGTTTTTCAATTTTTTGGTTCATTATTTTTATTTACTTTAATTTCATGAACATTTGTAGAAGAGTTTTAATATGTTGTAAAACTGTGTACATTATTCATATTCGCAAAAAATCAAATCCGTGAATATTTTATAAACTCGTAATTTGCTTTCCAAAATTCATGGAAAATTTAAATTCATGAAATTTTCAATTGCAAATTTTTTAGAATATGTCAAGATTTTCTTCAAATTTGAGACTTTTTAAAAACTTATTAACGCTTGAAATTCATGAAAAATTTTCAAATATGTGAAAATTTTCTAAAAAGCACAAAAATGTTGAAATTTGTTTAAAATGGTATTTAGATTTTTTTTTAACTTACCAGGAGTACAAGACCAAGCTCATTCTAAAATAATATTTTTAAGGCAAAACACACTTCATTCATCATTCAACAAGATGTTTACAGGAATAACAACAGGATCATAAGGGTTTCCCAGCCGGACATGATGACCAACATCTAAGCTGTTTTTTTAGGTAAGCACAAAAATGGTTGAACTGGGGTACAGAGTGAGGGTTTTTTTAGAACAGGGTACAGAGTGAGGCACGCTAGAGAAAGAAGCTATTGGGCCTGCCCCATCCGCGCAGATGTGCATTATAGCGGTAGTTGGCTACTGAAGGCGAGGAATAGGAGGTGTCGTCTCGCCTAGACTTGTGGGGTTTCTTCTCAGCCATAGGGAGAGATGGGTGTGTTTATTTATGTGTGTTTTCTTAGATTCGGTTTTCAAAATAGTTTATCTCCTGAACCATGCGTCCACTTTCACTGTTGCATTTATCGTGTCGAGATCTTCAAAACTAGATCGCATGTTTATAGGTTTTAATGAATTTTTTCGATGGCGAAATATGTGCTCCAAAATTGTACTAACATGTTCTTCAAAATTATACTAACATGTGCTTGTAAAAATGTACCAACTATGCTTCACCTTTTGAACAGCACAAATGAGCTTCACTTTTGGAGAAGCGCAGTTGTGCTTTTCAGGTGAGAAGTACAACTGTACTTCACTTTTGGGGAAGCACAGTTGTGGTTTTGTCTTTACACACAAAAAAAGGGAAAATAAAAAAAGTCGTAAAAAACATCCTAATGAGGGAAGCGCCTAGCATGCAATACGGGGCGGTGTTGGGGCATTCCACATGGCGTTTTGGGGCTCTCCCACGGGGTTACCCTCTAGTTAGCTCCTACCATCTGTCAAATACGATCGGTCAGTGTGAACAATATATTTAGTTTTTTTTGTTTGATGGTGATTGATAATTGAATTGTAATGCCATCCAATTTAGTTAATTCTCCTAGGAGTCAAGTTGGCTTTCATGTGATTACTGTATTATTTTTTGGTTCTTCCTCCACATATGTATAAATCTACTACTATATCGGTCGTCAGAGGAGAAGTGATGAATCTGAACAACTTGCACCACCTGGAACTCCATTTGGAAGGTAGCGAACGGAGAGCAGAGAGCGAGCGAGGAAACACCGATACCGTGAAATCAAGTGAGGAAACTCCGATGAGGAGAGGTAGAACTGCCATTGCCCATATTTATATGGACGGAGAATGCCTACGGGGGTCGTGGTAAAGGTGTTCTGGTAGCTCAATGAGCTCTGCTGTGGGAATCCTCGCCGGCCGGTTCAATACGTTCCATTGGGAACACACGACCTAGTAGTTGAACGAGCGCCTTTGTAATTGCAACGCCCGACCAGTGATTGAGGAAGCATGAAATATGTTCATACTTCTTCAGAGCAAAGCTACTAGAATAGCCCAACTTTAAATGGGAGATCATCATCGTCTATGGCCTCGCTGACCACCGGCACTCGCCAACCTTTCTTGACAAGCTCTGCAATAAGGTCGCGGCCACTCAACTCCCAGTGGTGGTAGGCGGTGACTTCAACCTCATCCGCTCGATCGAGGACAAGAGTAATAACCTCGTCAACTTCCCGCGGATGCAGTTGTGCAATGACTGCATCACTGACCTTGGTCTCCGAGAGTTAGATAAGGTTGGTGCCAGGTTTACCTGGACCAACCCTTAGGTGGAGCCGGCGCGGTCGGTTCTTGATCGTGTCTTCGTCTCCCCTGAGTGGGAACTGTGATGCCCCCTGGCTTCCCTCCGTGCCATCATCCGGATTGGACTCGACCACATCCCGCTCCTCCTGTCTTCCACCGACGAGCGCCCCCCATCCCCCCGCGTTTTCGCTTCGAGACCTTCTTGCTTTCCCAAGCCGGATTTGTCGACGCGGCCCGGGACTGCTAGGTGGAGGACCGGGCTTCCCCTCCCCGGATCCCGTCGGCCGTCAATGCTTGGCAGTTCTGTGCCAAACGTGGCCGCCAATTCATGAAGGGTTGGGGCATCAACCTGGGGCGTGACCTCCGGGAGCGAAAAAAGCCCTCCTAGTGTCTATCCAGGCTCTTGATCTCCGTGCAGACTCCTTGGGCCTTAGTCCCGAGGAATGGCTCTTGCTCAATGATATGGAAGATCAACTTTCTGTCATATATTCCGATGAGGAAGCTTATTGGCCGATTCGAGGTAACCAGAAATGGGTCCTTAAAGGCGACGCGAACACCGCTTATTTCCAGGCCATCGCCAATGGTCGGCGTCGTCGCAACACTATCCCCTTCCTTTGGGACGGGGAGTCTCTCTTGCAAGGTATGTGCGACATTCGTGCCCACGTCGATGGCTTCTTGATGTCTACTATGCAACCTTCTCCTTGTAGACGTTGTTGGGCCTCCAAGTGCAGAGGTTTGTAGGACAGTAGCAAATTTCCCTCAAGTGGATGACCTAAGGTTTATCAATCCGTGGGAGGCGTAGGATGAAGATGGTCTCTCTCAAGCAACCCTGCAACCAAATAACAAAGAGTCTCTTGTGTCCCCAACACACCCAATACAATGGTAAATTGCATAGGTGCACTAGTTCGACGAAGAGATGGTGATACAAGTACAATATGGATAGTAGATATAGGTTTTTGTAATATGAAAATATAAAAACAACAAGGTAACTAACACTACAAAAAAATACACTTCCGTGATGATACGTGTTTGTCACAGTAGGTCGCATTTTTTGTCATGCATGTACATCCATGACGATTTTATGACAGAATCAATATAGTTATACCTGTGCTGTCATAGAAGTGTTCCATGACATTACCAAAATTATCATCACGGAAGTGTCCACTTCCATGACGATAAATCGCGCGTCACACAAGTGTTTTCGTCAAGGGTGACCGACACATGGCATCCATCGTAACGGAACGCCGTTAAGCTATCGGGTCCGGTTTTGGATCCGATAACCCGTTAACAGCCCGGACCAATGGGGATTTTCCACGTGTAAAATCATCATTGGCCGCAGGAAACACGTGTTGCCTCACCGTTAGGACAGATGTCATCCACTCATTATACATGAGGCGCTATGATAGGTCGACACGTGGCACGACCCAACAGTGGCCCATTCCGGTGAAAAAGGTCGGCCCAGTAAAAACTAGCAGGCCGGCCCATATAAGGCCTACTTGTGTCAGGTCCATTTAAGCCCACGGCCCATACGAGATGTGCCAATTCGGCCTGTCAACGGTCCGTTAAAGATTTGACACCATTGCAGCCCATCGTTAGTTCGAGCCCGTTAACAGCCCGCTATATATTTGGGCTCAATATCAGCCCAATGAGATTTTGGCCTGTTAACAACCCATTCAATGGATGGGTCAATTTTCAGGATGTACATCTTTCGGCCTTTTAGCGACCCATTTAAATGTTTGGCTAATTTCTGGCTCAGTGTGTCTTTCAGCCTGTTGACGGCCCATAAATCAGATGGGCCATTTGTAGTCGGACCTGAGTTTCGGCCTTTTAGCGGCCCATTTAAGTGTTGGGCCAATTTCCGGCCTGGTGTCTCTTTCAGCCTGTTGACGGCCCATAAATCAGTTGCGCCATTTGTAGTCGGACCTGAGTTTTGGCCTTTTAGCGACCCATTTAAGTGTTGGGCCAATTCACGACCTTGTGTGCCTTTCGGCCTGTTAATGGACCATAAATGAGTTGGGCCATTTATAGTTGGACCTTAGTTTTGGCCTTTTAATGGCCCATGCCCTTCATGGTTCATTACCAGGCCAGTTTATCTTTCGGCCTGCTAAAGGCCCACAACACAGTTGGGCCATTTATAATACGACCTGACTTTCGGCCTCTTAGCGGCCCATGCTCTTCATGGTCCAGTACAAGCTCGCTATCTCTTTCGGCCTGCTAAAGGCCTACAGGATAGTTGGGCCATATGTAGCCCAAACTTAGTAACGACCTATTAACGGCCCGTGAAATCAATTGGGCCCACCTATTGCCCGCTTCGATGTCGGCCTGTTAACGACCCGGGAGGTAAGAGGGCCGACCATTAACTTTCGGCCTAGT